TCTTGCAAAAATACAAGAACAAGACCAAGACTGCAAGACCAAGATCAATTTTGGGTAACACTATATTATAGGTATTCAACGTGTAACAAAACCCCCGTGGTTTTCGTTAAGTGCGTTATCATATATAAAATCAGGTGTAAAATCAGATATAAACGTATAGAAATATTTATTTTTCACAAACTCGACCATTAAAGTTAAAAAAGTAAAGTTACAGCCTATATACGTCCCACTGCTGGGCACAGGCCTCCGCTCATTTCTGAGAGGGTTTTAGGGCAAGGATTTGTCCGCCGCGCTGTCCCAATGCGTGTTGGCGAACTTCACCTGTCTTTGAAATATTTTTTTTCTTATTTATCTGACATGCAGGTTTCCTCACGATGTTTTCCTTCACCGCCGAGCACGTGGTAAATCAGCACTTAAAATTGCAATTAACAATTTCGTTGGTGCCGGCGGGGATCGAACCCGGTTTGCTCGCGTACTGTGAAATTTGCAGCGAGCGCTAAACATCTGAGCTACCACGGCTCTCTCGACTCGACCATTAAAAAATTATATTTTATTAAAATAAATTTTAGTTTGTAAATCGTATGTGGTGTTATTGCTTCTAACGGACATGAGCATCGGTAAAGTGCGGTCTTTGACAATCGTCTTATTCCCCGGACAATGCAGAGGTATAGAGGTATATAGGTATTATTTTAATTAAAATTTAATTTTTAATCCGTGTCGTGTTTTCTTAAAAAAGTTATTTATATAAAAATAACTTTTTTACTAGGTTTGTATACCGATTCTGATAGTTCTGGGAACCACAGGATTTTTGTTACATATTGTATATACATAAATAGTTAGTTGCATGTGTTATTTAAATCTGGAGGATACATATTTGTATTTATCTCGCATCACATAGATATACAAAATTACCTATGTGCATTAGAAATACATTCTCAGTGAGAGACAGGCAATAGTCTTATAGAATTAGTAATTCTAAGCTACAGGTATTTATTCTTCTTGGACTCTTGGACCATAATTTTCCAGAGTAAATTCAGAAGTGCGAAATACCTGAGTAACTTAATAACTGATTGTGATTAATCCACATTCACAAAATCACGCATTTTGAACATTTAAATACAAAAATTAACTGTTATTTTAACCTTACAAAAAAGAAACCTTAAAAAGGAACTCAAACCAAAGGCCTCAATTCTATTGTGTATGTGCGATTTAAATAAGAATAGGGCTGACCTGGCGCTATATTGTGAGTTGTGACGTCATAGCTGTCAATTCAAACCAGTTAGGTAGGGTGAGCAAAAAAGATATTTATGAAATAATATTTATTTACAAAAGAACCTTGAACGAAAAAGTACTAATCTGAATGTAGTATTTCAATTTCGTTCATTTCTGCATCACTGGCTGAGTAATCATCATTGTCATCATTATAATCACTGCTGCTTTTTGTACTTATGTAGGTATTTAAAATATTCCACCGACTAGTATCAATATTTAAAATAAATTTATAAAAATAATATTTATAAGATCAATATAACTTAGTAATAGTAAGACTTAGTTTAATAAAGCGAAAAAAAAACGTTATTAAGAGGCCGTGCAGAAAATTTATTCGATAGAGTTTAGGCAAATTCATTGCGGTGCTATATTTGTGTGCTTCCAGGCTAAAGACCGAGCGCAGTACTCGCTTAAACAGTTTTGATCCTTTAGTTGATAATTATTTAAGGATATATAGTAAGTACCGTTTAAAAATAAAAATCTGGGATGTTTTTGTATAATAGTTTAGTATATTTATTACAATCAACATAAAATGCAAATATATTTAAGTAATTCAATGTTTTCGTTCTCCGATGTCATTAATGTCTGCTAGAGAGTACAGACAAATTTTATATGTCTTATTGGTATTTGCCCGAAAATCAAACATCGTGATTTCATTAAAACAAAGTTTTTGTAAATGCAAAACATGCGAAACAAATTTAAATATTAGGCCATATATGAGAAACGGAATGTTAAAGGGATAAATAAAATACAGAACACGAGTGCGTGACGTACACGTCAAGTAAATACTTTGATTTTAAAATTGATAATACTCGTTTCTTTTATAATATTTACTCAATGTTTTTAATTCATTTTTATCCATGAGGCATACAAAGTACACATTTTGGCAAAAATAAGCCGAACATGCTAAAGGATACTTGTATTTTCGATAAAACATTCGGCCTATTTAGTTTAGTAAGTACGTAACAAACACTATGAAAAACAAAAGAACGCGACTAAGCCTACGTTACGGAGTGAGTAGGCGCGGTGCGTGGAGTTGCTATTATTGTTTTTATTATTTTCCCAATAACTACTAGGTCTCAATTATTGGATGGCACATCTATGGCCGCTTTAAACATTTATTTACAAAGAATGGCACGTTGATCTTCATAGGTTCGTCACCCTGCCATAGATCACAATTTAGGTATCATAATTTTGACCCAATTCGATGCAACCGCGGGTGGCATTTTTGCGTTATTTCATGCGGACATAATGAAATGCAACAGTAGACAAAATCGTATTTTATGAATGGTATTTGAAATGGGTACTAATCATTAAAAAAAAAACTATCAAAAATAAACTATCAATGAACATAGTAGACGTACTGAGACAGCAGCCGGGTCTAACTATTAGGTACTAAGAACCACCCAGGTGATCCCATACGAAGAAAAAAATTATCATAATTGGTATAGCCGTTTAGGATAACAATAATTACGAACACGCACACCTGAAATTTTTATATAAAGACTAGGCGTGCAACATATTATAATTCTTAATAAACAAACTATCCAAAAAAAAAAAAATACTTACCCTGATCAAAATTTGGTGGTCGGCCTACAATTTCTGGAAATGTTTACGTAAAACGGGAGCGCCTGCGATACAAAGTGATACGTCCTCGATCTGGGAAGGCCCGGTCGTCACTGATCGGATCGATTTCGATTTTGCGCGGTCGATAATATAATTCACTTTGCCATTTAGTAATAAACGAAATTATTATTTATTTATGAAATAAAATTTAGTTTCCAATAAAGGGTTATCTTAAGATTAATGTGTAATTTTTTAAATCAATTTAAAGTGTTTCTATGTAATAGAAAAAAATACTTATTTCGAACGAAGTTTTCTGGGAATTACGTTATTCCAACAATTTTTTTCTGCTATATTTGGATAGAAATAAAAAAAAAACTGATTTGTAGAAGTAGAGTCTTGAAACTCTTAGTAGATCATGTGGCTGTTCTGCTTTGATTGTTTATAAAAAAATATTTAAGTTTTAGAATATATTTAAAAACAAACCAATTAATCTTTACTGTCCATATACTATTCATTCGAACCAAGCGGTTCTATGATATTATGACATATCCTGCGTCCTTTTTAATACGTACAGTATTAGAATGGTACCTATAATTTGCTATAGCCTTCCATGTCTTCAAGGCAGGAATGAATAAACTTTTGTTATATACTATCCCGTGGGTGTCGTAAGAGGCGACAGAGTAAAATTGAAACAGGTGATGGGCTGCAGCATCTTCCTGATCACAACTCAAAATAATAAAAAACTGCGGTTGACAATCCGCTCGCCAAGCGTGGCAACTAAGGCAAAATCCCCCCTATAAGGCAATCTATGGATGGAAGCTAAGACAGTTGTGCACTTTACCATCTTCTGCTATATCTCCACTTACCGTCACGGGAGCATAGCTTTCACTGGCTTGTAATAGTTAATAATATAAACATTTTATAACTATATCAGGCTTGTTAATTAAATGTCATCTTAAAAATGGCATTATTTTAAGTACTAAAAGTGTTTTTTTATAGGATATGGTGATAAACGAGCACACAGTACACCAGTAAGTGGTTGCTGTGACCCATAGACATCAACATATTATATCCTCAATTAAGAATCAAAATGCAGATACGTTGTCGCCCGTGACGACAAAGATGGAATGCCTCATTTCCAGTAAAAAGGGTCTCCGGTTCTCTACACTCACCATATGAAACACAGCAGCTTTATGCTACTATTTGACGCTGGTATTCTGTGAGAGCGTGGTCCTTCCCCGGTCGAGACGACCTATTCGTGCTACAACTATACTACTAAAATAACTGCAGTGAAAGAAAAAGAAAAATAATTAAAAAAGAAAGGAAAAAAAAAAAAAAAAAACAAACAAAAAAAAAAAAAAAAATAAAAAAAAAAAAAAAAAAAAAAATAAAAAAAAATTATAATATTTTATAAAAAAAAAAAAAAAAATAAAATTTTAAGAAAAAAAAAAAAAAAAAAAAAAAAAAAAAAAGAAAAAAAAAAAATGGCTCTAACACGTAAAAAGTGTTAGAGCAAAAAAAAAATAAATAGATAAAGCAACACGAGCCATGCTGCTAAAAATATGAATGTAGTACAAATGGTAGTTAATAGATCTGTTACGATAAATTGCTCAACCGTGTAGTGGCGGTGTAACAATATATACTGTTCTATATCGTCCAGTGGATGTCGTAAGAGGCGACTGAGGGAAAAGAAATAAGAAATAGGTGGCAGCATTTTCCTATTAACAGCTCTAAATAATAAAAAAAACTGCGTTTCCCAAACCGCCTGGCAAACGTGGCTACTATGGAGCAATCTCCTATAGGTTATAATGGATAGATGAATGGTATAAATTTCTCTATAACTATTTTAAGCAAATAACAATCTAAGTTTTTTTAGGGAAATTTGCAGTGGAATTCTAAAAATTGGTATTCGACCGGCCCTGTGTTTGGGGTATTGTTATACAAGCGTTATAGTTCGAAATATGAATTTTTTTTTTATTTTTTAATTTAATACGTTAGCTAAATACGACAAGAATTTAGTTACTATAATTACTTGACCATTCTTATATATCTAGTAAATCTTTATACTACACGGTATCTATGTTTTACTACTTTACTTTCTTACTATGCGTATTATCTGCTTTTATGTATAAATTACAAACATTTTTTGAAAACTATTATTACAGATTCAATATACACTGAACGGTACATGGACACGCCTCAAGCCAATCCCCTCGGCTACAAGCAGTCTGATCTGCTAGTCGCGGCCCAGAAACTTCGCGGCAGGCGCTACCTTCTCGTTCACGGCAGCGGCGACGACAATGTGCATTACCAACACAGCATGCAGCTGGCCAAACAACTGCAGCACGCTGACATTGCCTTCGAACAATTGGTGAGATTCGAATATGTTTATCCACCTGTTTTTTTTTCTGAAGTAAGAATGACTAACTAGCACACTGACCACGTTATACGTAAGTGAATGCCTTTATTTGGTCCATAATTGCCTACATCTATCCTTGATTAGATAAGAAAAGCGAGATCGTCATCAACCGTGACAGGGTTAAAATGCCTCGTTACTATTAAAAAGGCTCTTAATTTAATGAATCATCATTGTATTTCACTCCGTTAGTGTGAAGAGACGATTCCGATAGATAGCAATGTAGTTTGCACTCAGGGTAAAATTTCCAGACCCGTGACGATAATCAGCCTCAGATACTAGCTAACTGACGCTTTTCTGTCCATGTCTTGTATAGCGATATCCCATTCGCGTACCAAGCTTGGTAATTATGATAACACACAAACGTGGAAATAAAATAAAACCAATTTCAATTTAACGCTGAACTTAACTTATTAATTTATAACATCTTTAAATCTACAACGAAAATCGAAGAAAAAAGGTTACATATATTTATCAGAGACTGAACCTTGGAAAGGTTGAAAACCAAAAGGACAAATCAAAATTTTAATACTAAAATTCGAAATTTATAAAAATTTTTTTATGTGAAATGATCAAGAATATTATCAAGCAATCAAAGCGAAAATTAAGAAAGTAATTTTCATTACACAAAGTATTTAAGTAAACCGAAACCGATGTAAGATAAAGTCAGTAATTACAGTTAACTTTTGGTAGATTTTTGTGAAGAAAACTAAGTTTGTTTAAGTTATTAGCAGGTAATCTTTTATACAAATCATTTTGAGACCAAAGAAGACTAAGAAGAGAAAGGGACTTGCAGTTGAAAACAGACACTCTGAGGCAACTGAGAACTACTAAGAGTCTTGCGAACGTTGTTCGTTTCGCGCTTTTCAAACTCTTGATATCGGTTGTATATAATCGGCGATGCCGATATATCGGTTCACCAATTATATCGGCCGATATACCGGTATCGATATCGGAATCGTTACATCCATAGGTTAGACTCGTATGCGGTAGTGGGTATATATACAAGTAGCTTGCTTATGTATGCTCTAAGGGCAGTGGACTTTTAGGACCTGAGAAGAAAAATGAAGAATAGTTCATTATTCAACTTATCAAAAACATAATTTTTTTCGACAGGCTTAGAACTAAACAACTTGTAACAAAAACCCTGTGGCTCCCGCTAAGTGCGTTATCAGAATCAGTATTCATACGTATAGAAATAATGTCTATTTCAGAAAACTCGTTGATTAAATAAACTAATTCAATTAAAAAAAAATTTGCAAATTGTATGTTTTATTACCTCTAATGCTGGAGCCATACTAACGAAAAATTTTGTTATTTATCGCGTTGATGGACGGTGAATGTAGGTGTAACGCATTAATTAATTTGACAACGGCATTAATAATGCCGTTTGCCGTTTGGCGATAACTCGAGTGGAAAGTAAAGCGGCCACACTACCTTTGTCTCACTGTGCACGGTGAGACCAACGGGGTCGCACGTATGATGAATAATGAAAAAGTTATTACGTTTTTTGAGATTCTGCAAACAGAGCCATGTTTGTGAGATCCGACTCAAACTTTTAAGAATCGTTTGTCGCAAAATGGTACTTTGCAACAAATTATGCAATTATTACCTTTTAAAACAACTACCTAAGAAATTAAAAAGAAGAAGGTAAGCTTAATGGGTTTTTATAGAACCCATTTTAACAAATATAAAAAATCTTCAACGAACCTTAACGCCAACTTTAACGTCGTTCAGTGGCATTGAGATTGAAATGACGTTGGCCTTTCAAGTATAGTCACTCACTTTATCGCGTTAAATTTAAAGCAATAATTGTGGCGTTTATGGGCATTGACGTTTCCTGTTAGTGTAGCCTCAGCATAACTGACACTAGCATCGGTAAAACGGGGTCTTAGACAATCCTCTCACTCCCCGAACAATATCGAGGTGATAAAACCACATAAAATTTGCAAATAAAAATGTATTAAAAATGGTCATGTGTTCTGAAGTAAAGTTATTTCTATATGTTTGAATACTGATTCTGATAACGCACGGGAACCACAGGATTTTTATTTACGAATTTAAATAATTGATACTTAAAGACGCATAAATTAAACCTATAGCCTAAATAAAAAAGCCTTGAATTTCATAATACACAAAAACAGTTCTGATAATGTCTTAGAACTAGCTTCAAAATTTACTTCTTAAATATTGAACTCTTTTAACTTTCGATCGTACTCTTCTTGATGCTATCGTAGAAATTAATTCATCGCCATTATCATCATCATTATCAAGATCATAATTTTATCCATTACATTTAGAAATTGATTGGAAGGATAAAATCATGATTTTTATCTTTGAAATGGATTGTCCTCCTCAGCATCTCATGTATCTCTTAGAAGAGATCTAATATCAATTTCAAGACCTTAAAATCCCTTTTTACGAGTATGTTATTGAATGTTTAGACGCTTTACGCCTAAACATTCAATAATATACTCGTTAAAACACATAGTACATTCAATAATACACGCGTTAGAGCCGTGGTAGCTGAGATGGTTAGCGCTCGCTTTAAATTTCACAGTACGCGAGCAAACCGGGTTCAATTCCCGCCGGCACCAATGAAATTGTTAATTGCAATTTAAGTGCTGATTTACCACGTGCTTGGGGATGAAGAAAAACATCGTGAGACAACCTGCATGTCTGGGAAATAATAAAAAATATATTTCGACATGCGAAGTTCGCCAACACGCATTGGGGCAGCGCGGCGGACAATTACTTGCCCTAAAACCCTCTCAGAAATGAGCGGAGGCCTGTGCCCAGCAGTGGGACGTGTATATAGGCTGTAACTTTACTTTACTTTTTTTAGACGCTTTCTCTTGAGAATTATTACAAGTATGTCACAAAATTAAATATTTTTTATTGTTCCATTCATTGTTCTAGAGTTATACCGACGAGAACCACTCGTTAGCGGGAGTGAGTCGACATTTCTACCACGCACTTGATCACTTCTGGACGGAATGCTTCGATTTATAAATTATCTAGTTAAGACTATTTTAAATTATTGTTTTGAACTATGTTATCACGTCAGAATAAAGACTGTACATGCATTACATTTTTGTGGTTTTATTTATATGGTCCTCCAGAGCAAATTTCGGCCACGGCGGCCAGCCTCAACGGAGGCTAGCCATCGGCGCAGGACAGGATTATAGTGCCCAAGTGTATGCGCAAGCACAGGTGCACTCTCTATTCCCTCCGCCGTGTTGTCGTCTACATGGCATATGTCATGCAGGTATTGGGCCTCGGGGTATATCCCCATTACCCGGGTGTTCATCGTAGCCCATAACTATGGGCCAGTCCTTAGAGCCTATTTCTAGGCGTAGATGGGTGTTACGGGTTAGTCCGTAGTCAGGAAAAATTTTTCACGTAGTCGGTTAACTACGGGAAAAAAGGAGGTTGTCCGGTAAAAGTCAAAGTTGGCCTATCAGCGGCATTGTGGGTTGTTACTCGACTCTCTAATCGATATAGAGAGGAGTTATCTTGGAAAGGTCGCCCGTCCGGGGGCCGGATGTGCAACGGCGCGAAGCCGTTGAGGTGTTCGTGTTGCCCGTTATCGGCACGGTCGAACATACCGCGCGCCAGGCAGGCCACGAAGTCGGTGATGGTCTCGACTTTCAGATCGGTCGCTATAACGTCATTCCGGACGTAACGACCTGCTCCGACGATCGTCCTTAATGTCAGATTCTGCTGAGCCTGTAGTCGCCGCCTCAGAGGGTCGCTCAGAAGCGCGTACCAGGCCGGAGCAGCATAGGTGGTGATAGGCCGGATATACGTCTTGTATTATCCGGAGCTTGGTTCTTGTCGGCAACTTGGATGCCAGGACTGTCCGGAGCATCACCCGCGCACATCTGGCTCTGCGGACGACGAAGTCGACGAGCGCGGTCATGCGCAGCGTCCTGTCGATCCGGCACCCAAGGTAAGTCACAGCCTTCTGGTACGCGATCTTCTGGCCATTGAGGATCAGCGGAGGTGGTAACATCATGAGACGGCGAGTGAGCAGAGCGGTCGTTTTACCAAAGTTGACGACCATCCTCCACTCGTCCAGCCATGGTGGCAACAGGTCCAGCAGACGCTGCATCCTGGCAGTGGCTATGTGGGCTCTTCTGGACGAGGTGAAATAGGCGCTATCGTCCGCAAATAGCGCCAGCTCGACGTCGTCCTCCCACACTTGCAGCCTGCCTGCCAGTGTTGGGATGTCGTTAGTATAAGCCGCGTACAGGACTGGAGACAAACAGCTGCCCTGTGGAACGCCGGCTCTGATGGATCTGGTTGCGGACTCGGCGTCCTCTACGCAGACGTAGAACTTCCTGTCTTCCAGGAAAGACGCCACTAGCCGCAACATAGCAGGAGGGACATTGGTCTGTTCTTGCAGTTTGTATAGTAATCCTGCAAGCCACACCCGGTCGAATGCTTTCTCTATGTCGAGAAAGACGCCCAACGATATGCGGCCTCGGTTGTACTCTGCCGCAAACAGGTGCAGCACTCTAGTCAGCTGTGTGACTGTGGAGTGACCCCTCCTGAATCCGTGCTGCTCCGCCCGAAGTTGGATGCACGGACGGAGACGTCTCAGCAGCAATCTTTCAAGCAGTTTAGCTATGTGCGGTAATAGCGTGATCGGCCTGTAGCTGGCAGCTCTACGCCTGTCCTTCCCGAGTTTCGGCAAGACGATAACTTTGCCTTGCTTCTAGTCCTCCGGGAAGTAGAATGTCCGCAATATCCCATTGTAGAGTCGACCAATCTCTCTCTCAAAGGACTCTATTGGGCAGCTGTCGGAGTGCAGCGTTGGTAATCCCGTCGTGCCCCGGCGCCTTCCTCGGTTGCAGGCGGGTTACTGTCCTCCGCAGTTCAGCGAGATGAACCACTCTCCTGCAAGAGGCGGCGCGGGCGACGATAGGAACTCCTGTACGCGGCTCTCCTTCCGGGCATGAAGCTCCATGAACTCCGCACTTGCTGGGTTCAGCATAAATTGCTCCTCGAAGTGCTCTACTAGGATATCCGCTCTGCCCTTGGCATCGTAGCAGCGTTCACCCGCGCTGTTGGTCAGCGGGCAAACGGGAGGTCTGGCTTTGGTCAACTGTCGGTTCAGTTTATAGAGCGACGCATCATGCTCATCCGCCTTTCATATGCGCCGCTCCCAGGCCTCTCCTCTGTAGGCCTGGACTGCAACCGACAGTTGCTCCGATAAGATGTTCAACTGCATCTTCAGTCTTTGGCAGCGAGTACGCGTCCAGAGTGTGGCCGTGGAAGGAAAAGGGGAGATCTCCCGCCGGGCAAGGTGTTCTGCCCGGGGAGCAGCCAACGCTCCGAGTGATAGTTCGGAGAAGTTCTATATATACTGTCTATGATTCGGAATGTTGATAGCGTGATTTAAGATTCGGTGTATTTCGCTTGTGGCGCGACGACAGCGCCGCCACATCACACCCCTGCTCAGACCGGAGGTCGATAGTGCAGCCTCGTTGCCGACGAATGTGCAAGTACCAGGAGATTGCCTTGTAGTCTGCGGTGAGTCGAGAAGAAGGCAAGTAATCTGCGAGAGTGCCGTGAAGCAGAGGCGAGCAGTAAGGCTCAGAGCCGTGCCGAACACTGTATAGCGCAGAGAGTAGCTTGAAGGAACAGGAAGCATTATTATTCCAGTGCTGCGATGAACCTTGTGAAGCTAGATGGCTTACAGGATATGAAGACTGCAGACGATATCTGCTCGGGAGCGAATGGGTGGGGTATTTTTGACGATGATGAAAGCTTGAAGTTTCCGAAGGTTGTTGATTGCATGTTCAGATCACGTCGGGGTCACCACTGTGGCCGTGGTAGGAAAAGGGGAGATCTCCCACCGGGCAAGCTGTTGTGTGCCCGGGGAGCGGCCGACACTCCGTGTGATAGTTCGGAGAAGTTCTATATATACTGTCTATGATTCGGAATGTTGATAGCGTGATTTAAGCTTCGGTGTATTTCGCTTGTGGCGCGACGACAGCGCCGCCACAAGAGCTTCCTCAACGCTTTCTTGCGCCTGATCTGCACGCATATCTCTCGCGGCAGATCGTCTCGCCTTGCTGTGATCGGGACGATCGTAGAGGCCGCGTGGAGGGCCTCCTGGATGTTTTTGGTGATTCCGGTAGCAGTGGCCTCTACATCGTCCGCTGTGCATATAGGATGGTGGACTGGAGGTCTCTCCTGCAGGTGTTGATGGTAGAGCCTCCAGTCGATACGTGTCTTGAATGCTCTGGGCGGCGTAGTCACCGCCTTTGTGCCAAGGGTCTTACAGCACCTCTACCACTATCGGGTAGTTGACGTTCCTAGTGAGCACGATGTCCAATACATCTGGACGTTTTCGGGGGTCTGATGGAACGTGTGTCGGTTATTCGGGACCTAAAACTTTATAATTGTTGTTCTCTGCGTCTTCATAAAGTGCATGACCCGGCGGGGTGATCACTCTGGACCCCCACGGCGGGTGTTTGGCGTTTAGGTCCCCGGCGATGATGGTGGGTGTTTCGCCTTCCATTATCGTTCGGACGTCTGAGGAGTAAAATGGAGTCCCTGGCGGGCGGTATGCTGCGTAAATCCTTAGTTTCTCGCCCGCCGCCTCCATTTTTATGCCGATAGAGCGCATTGTCTGGTATGTTGGTAAATCCAGCTCTTGATGGACGATGTCCCTCCTCACTAGAACCGCCGTCCCTCTATAAGCGGCCCCTTGATAAGTGACCTCGTCCCTTCTGTATAGGTGGTAATTTGGCAGCTTTAAATGCGTCTTAGGATTTAATTTTGTCTCTCCCAGCAAAATGACATGTAAATCCTGCTGCTGGGCGACTGTGCGGAGTTCATGCAGCTTCTGCTGTATTCCGTCCGGGTTCCAATAGAGGAGGCGCAAGTTACTCTCCTCCGTAATGCCGGGCCAGGAGGTTTGCCAGCGCCTTCATAACCGCTGTTATTGGATCGGTCCCGGCTCTTATGTCGGCCAGGACCTGACTGCCGACCTCGATAGCTATGCCAACCAAACGTTAGATGTCGTCTGCTGTTTCGAGGCTGGCTGTGGGTGTTCTCCTGTATGAAGGCGTTGGCACTGGTCTCGGGCGTTGATCATCCTGCACTCTTTGCTTGTGGGTAGAGCGCGCTCTATGTATAGAGCGGGCTCTATTTTCTGATAAAGCCCTTTCTGGCACTCTATCCACGTTCTTTTTAGCTATCTCCCGAGTAACCTGCGCCTGTGAGGCTACTGGTCCTGCTGGTGTCGGGATAGAGGTTACAGCCTGATGAGGCTGCGAATTCTTCCTGCTCCTCTCCCGCCTCCTCTTTTTAGAGGGTTGCCGTTCTGTGGCGGGATTGGCGGGGGGGCTGTAGAGTCGCCCCGGTGGTTGCCCTTACCTCTGCGGGTTCCACCGTTTCCATAGGTGTTACGGGTGGGGGAGGGGCTGATTGCCTACCCTTCCCTGTTACGGTAGCCCACCCGCCTTTGGGCGACTCTGGGGGGATCCTTTTCGGGTCCTCCGGGAGTAGTCCCGGCAAAGTAATCCCCTGCCTCCTAGCAGTCCTCCTCAGGACTGGGCAGCGGCGGTCATTTGCCATGTGGTTTTTACCACAGTTGGCACATTTGGGTTCCTCATCTCTACCCCGAGGGCAAAGGCTCGCTATGTGCTCCCCGGCGCAGCGCACACACTTCACTGGCCTGAAGCAGTTGGCGGAGGCGTGCCCGAAGGCCTGGCATCGGTGACATTGGGCTGGTCCTGCTTTCCTTTGCCAGGCCTCGATGACGACCCCTCTCATATAGAGGAGTTCGTCGACCTTATATAAGTCCTGGAGCTGCTCCAGGCTCAGATAATCAAGTTGGGCGAAGTAGAGGCAGCCAGATCTGCCCCTACGTGGTGGGATCGCCTTCACTTACTTGATGGGGAAGCCTTTTGCCCTAATTGCTTCCTCTATGGATGTGGTGTCCGTGCCCATTGGTAAACCCCGGATGCCCATTTTGGTAGGCTTATCCTCCTCCGGGGTATAACAGTACCACGATAGACTTGGTAGTTCTTTGGAAAGTTCGACCATGTACTTCTGGATGGTACGAAATTCATCGGCACTCTGCGGCGTGAAGCGAACTCCTTTCCCGAACGGACGGGCATTTGGAGGGTGGCCCAATTTACGGTTGAGCTCCTTAAAATGCCTCGTCCAATCCGGGAGGCATTCAGCCACTATGGGCGGGTATCTAGCTCTCTCTCTTGGTCAGCAGGTTTATCGGCTGGCTTCACCGCCGCCCGCGGTCGTGGCACTGCTGGCGCTGCTGCCATATGGGCATAGCTGGTGGATGACCGTTGGCCATCGTCCTGGGGAAGCCCGGACGGATTTGATTTCGCCACCGGCGATGATCTGCTGGCGGATGCTGCAAGGGTCGCATAGGTGGTGGACCCCCAGCTATAGAATTCTTCACCCCCCTGTTCATACTGGGCCGAATCATGGCTACGCCGATCCGGTGACATGGAGCGGGGGGGTTGCGGTGGTGAAGGCGACTTAGGTGGTGACTTATGCACCGTCTTCCTAGTCGTATGGTGATCTTCATCCTCCGATGAAGATGTTGGTGCATCGGAGGAAGAAAGGTTTAAGCCGATTTTCTGCCTCTTTTCGAATAAAAGGGTCTCGGTCTCCGGTGGGGTGTGGCGTCTGGCCGTTTTCTTTGCCCGCTGCTGCTGGGGCGACGGTTCCTGCATGATCGTGTGCTCAGACACGGCCGGCGTGAGCGCGACGCCCTGTGCGGGCTCTTTCGGCGGCGAGACGGGTTTTCTTTGAGGGATCTGTGAGAAGGATGACACTATTCTCCCTCGATTTGCCCTCACAACCAGTGGTCGATCCAACACACCTTTTCGGTCCGGTGGTTTTCTTAGACTCGGAGGGGGCGGTTCCCCCTTGTTCTTATCGGACATGATACGACCTACCTAAAGTCAGTCAGGTAATCTAGTTTAAGGCCCTGTCTATAATACCAGCCGATAGGCGGCTGCGCGACGCGGATGGTAGGGATGGTGAACGTTAGCTTCGTCACTTTTTGGCACTGCTTATCCCTTTTATATCAAAACGGTTGGGGGAAGTGCGGTGGTGGCACTCTAAACGCGCGACTAGGCACTAGAAAACACGAACGTTTTAGAGCACCTAAGAATCTACCAAGGGGCCGGTGACATCGACGCCTCACGGAATCCGGGGACTCGACGATCGGCGGAGTATGTCGTACCGGCGGTTGTATGCAGCCATTGCTAACTACAAACAACGCACACCTAGGAGATCCTTAGCTCTATTCCCTCACTCTCATAATCAGATGGGACGGTAAACCGACACGACCGTAGAGAGATCAGGCGCAGGACCAACAGCTTGACGTGCTTTCCGAGGCACGGGGATGAGACACCGCCAACTTCCTGACTCCGGGCAGTTACTGAGAATTTATTGACGGAAAACTCAATAATTGATTTTTTGGCCCGACCCGGGATTCGAACCCAGGACTTCATGATCAGCAGTCGCGGTTTTATTTATAAAATTCATTGCAATAACTTTTTACGGGCAATAAGTAAGTTTCATTGTAGTCTATCAATGTCCACTGTTGAAAAAAATAAATTGCTTTATAGCGGTGGTATTTGGCATAGTGGTCACCTGGCCGGCGGGTTGGCAACTGCAATTTTTGTTTATTACTTGTCATTAGGAATGCTGCTGCCAGAAAAAAACTAAATCTTTTAGTTTTTACCCTGTCTCTTTCGACACCCACGAGACGATATGGGTTAGCGAATATCCTTACACTATCTTAAATAAAATACCTAGATTGGCAGCAGAGAGCAACGTCAAAGGCGTGAGACATCTGGTTGTGCAATCATCAATCCGCTTGCAAGGGTGACGGTTAAGACAAATCCTCACCACAAAAAGAATGGCCAAGGTCCAGTAATAGTCTGATGAAGTACAGAAGAAGTCAAATAATGTAACAATACTTTTGCAAATGGTATTGTATAACGAAAAAATAATAACGATAATAGTGTGCGCTATAACAAAGAGTTAACATTTAAAAACTAACAAGTTTTTGATACAACGAAAAAATGCACTGGAGTTTCAGAGGCGTTTCAGGATCAATAATTCCGAAATATGTCTTATTTGCACGTATTTTTAGACTAGCTTTGATTCAAACGCAGGACCTGTGAATTGGAATCTTAGAGTAAATGATACGTTAGATATATTTATGACAGAGGCATAAAAAGGTTCTATACATACGTATGTATGTAATTACTCTAAGGTTCTACAAGCCATATTATTTCTAAATGCTAATTCTGAACGCAATATATACAAAAAGAGGATCTGACGTTGACGTTAGCAGACTAAGAATTTTAGGCAAGTTATAAAATGTTTAGTAAAATTTGTTATATAGTGGAATAATCTTTAGAAACATAGAAAATTTTAAATGTTTAATTTCGGTTACAAATTACGCATTACATCATTGAGATTATGGCGGAACACATTCGGATGCAGGCGATGGTTTGTTTCAAAAAATTATCTGTTATCCAATATAGATTTAGTTAAACAGTTATTTCTGATCCACGGTATAAATACGAGATCGATTCTTTAAACTGTTTGTAAGGGAAATTGCCTTTAATACATACAAATGACGCAATATCTTAAAGCTCAGTCATGATTAATCAATAGCAGATCTAACCTGTGAAGTAATCTATAGATACGGATGTCTTTGTTCAGCTTCAAGTCTTTACTTTTTTTTAAACCGTTTGTAAAATTAATAAGAATTTAATAAAATACAATAAAACAATTTAGTTACGACTCAATTACTTTGCATAAGTCAATGATAAATAATAGCACAAAAAATAGAATCAAATAGTTGAGCCGTGGGAAATAATAATTTTAGCCGATACGCTCGCACTACCGAACGAACGCCGACACGAACAATGCCACTGTCCACCTACCTAAACGTCTCACATTCTCGATGCCCCCTATTACCAGTATGTAAAATTTTGGTTCATAAAAATTTGATGGATTTTCAGACTAGTCTGTGGCTATAGTGACTTGTTTGTTCTTCAGCTGAGTGCATCGCTTGCGGTGACAATCGCAAAAAAGTAGACATGTGTGGGTAGTATAATATACTATATAACAACAGGTCGGAATAAACCTAATTATAATAATTTGTGCTATCAATAGAGATTTGTGCAGTGTAAATTGAAATGACTTGATAAATGTTGATTATATGTTAATAATTGTAAACGTAGTGGCCTGCGGCTATATTATGGTTATAGTACGAATGGGTCGGCTCGACCTGTATAGGACCACAGCGTAAAATATCAGCCTAATGGTATTGTGTTTCGTGTGGTGGGTGTAGAGAACCGGATACCCTTTTTACTGCAAACGAGCTATTTTATCTTAGTCCTCAGGGGTGACAACGCATCTGCATTTTGAATCTTAATAGAGGATAAATGTAGATGTCTATGGGCCACAACATCCATTTGCCTTTAGTTGCTCTGTGTGCTCGTTTGTCACCCTTATTCTATACAAAAAAAGTAAAAACCGATTTCTAAAACCAAAAGTAATGAAATAATATTCACATGATTTACTAGCTTTTGAAGTCAAAGTTGTAATTATTTTACTCCATGGGCTGGGCACAGCCTCTTAAAGTAACAAATAGTTTACAAACAAAAGTCTGATTTCTATTATAACCTTGAACTATTTCTTCCAACCTTTGACTGAAATCTTTCCTTCAAATTTAAAGAAATCACACTTAAAGTACAGTTTATTTAATTAACAAAGAATCAATAAACTCGATTCAGAATTGGCGAAGACATCGCGTTACATGCATACAAAAAAGACGGCTAAAATCGGCTAGAAATGAAATATTTTGAGTGCTAATTCTTGTTTTGTTATGCTTAATATTTTGAGTGCTAATTCTTGTTTTGTTATGCTTAATATTTTAATAATATATTGTTACTAGAAATCTTTTTAATTTTGTCAAGGTTGGTACATCGTTTCAAGTTAAAAGTCATATTATTTTAAAATTTATTAGAAATAGCTTATTTCAGATATAATTTTGCGTAATACTAATATTTCAGGAAGTCAGAAGATGTTGCCCCACTAACCGATTGCGGTCCGGTAATAGATGATCGTGGCATATGCGCAATCGATCCTTGTGACCCTGACAAATGCTTTTCGGAGCCACGTGTTGTTATCATCGGCGCTGGAATGGCAGGAATCTCCGCTGCTGCTAGACTGTCGCAGCGAGGGATAAATAATATTGTCGTCTTGGAAGCCCACGAAAGGTCTGAAGTTATAAAATTAATGGGACGTGAAATGTACGAATTTAACCTATTATTTATTTATTTTTTTAACAGACCCGGAGGTCGAATACATTCTTGCTGGCTTGGTGACATTGTAGCAGAACTCGGAGCTCATTGGCGACCCAATAACTGGTTCACTCACCCAATCCATACCCTAGCTGCAACTGAGAATCCACCGCGTCCTGGAGTACCTGGCGCTGTTCATACAAGAGGGCTTTTTAATAGAGTTGTCACTGGAAAAATGGCATTTCCTCCCACAATATATGCTTATTATAAATTTCGTCAAATAGAAGAAGAAGCGGCTCATCTATTCTGTCTTGGTGGTAACAAACAACACGGGTCCTTAATTAATTTCATGAGTCTTAGAATACAACAAGAGTTGCACAACTATCCACTAGAACAGCAACATGACGCAGCCAGGATAATGTTTGGACTTGCGCATATGTTAAGTGCTCGATGTTCGAGTGACACAGCAATGCTTGGCGCAGATCAGTCCGGATGCTATATGAACATGCCCGGTGGCGAAGTCAGAGTTCCTTTAGGGTTAATGGGAACATTAGCGCCATTACTTCGACAAATACCCGAAGGAGTCATACGTTACTGCAAGCCAGTTAGCAGTATATATTGGGGAACGTCACAAAGGGCAGGTTATCGGGCTATTGTATGCACAACTGACGGTGAGGAATTTCCCGCTGATTACGTTATTACCACGGTGTCACTCGGAGTGTTATGTGTCAACGCGGGTAGGTTATTTTGTCCAACGTTGCCTGCCTCAAAGATGTATGCCATACGATGTCTTGGATATGGATATTGTAATAAAATCTTTATGGAATACTGCCGACCATTTTGGTTTTGGCACAAAGGAAATTTGAACTTCAATTACCACAACAATGAACTTTCCTATAGATCGAATTGGACTAGGGGTATTACAGCCATCGAAACGGTTCCTAATAGTAGTCACGTGTTGTGCATATGGGTGATGGGCACTGAAGCGATGATGATGGAGAGTTTGTGCGACAAAGACGTAGCTGAAGATATAACGGATGTATTGAGGGTATCGACAGGTAACAAATACATACCTTACCCAGTTACTGTGCTACGATCACATTGGACTTCCGATCCATTCTTTTGCGGCGCTTACTCCTATGATTGTTATTGTACTGACGAACAGGCCCGGAGAGAGTTAGCATGCCCCTTGCCCGAGCCTAGTGACCCAATACCGCCTATACTTCTTTTCGCCGGAGAAGCTACCGTACCTGGACATTATGCTACTGCTACTGGAGCTCGTTTAAGTGGTGTTAGAGAAGCTGAAAGAATTGTACAGTTAACACTTAGATACAAAGGCCCTCCTATACCAGTGGGAGAACATGTTAAGCCAAAAGTATATGCAACACATGCTGGAAAGTAACCTAAAAGTATCTATTTTCGGATAAAGTGTCTATTTTCGGATTAAAGTAAAAGAAAAGTTTAGAAAGAAACCTTAAAAAAGCAGGTATAGAATAAATTCTAACAATATAGCATCCTTTTCAAAAACATAGCTCACGTCTTCACTTATTATATTTATATTCTGCAAACTTAGTGTTGTTAATAGATGATGTGAATAAAGATGCACTTATATTCTTTAACTTCCATTTTTATTTAATTTCGACTTTCAATCTTTGTAATACGTAGTATTTATTTCCACTAGAATTTAAACATAGCTTATGAGGACATTGAAAAATAATCAATTTTCAACTTACACATCAGATTTTTATACGTGGTAGAGCCACGCTGCAGTTGTATTATGGTTGAAGTACGATTGGGACGGCTAGACCGGGGAAGGACCACACCACTCTCACAGCATACCAGCGTAAAATAGCAGCTTAATGCTGTTGTGTTTCGTATGGCGAGTGTAGAGAACTGGAGATCCGTTTTACTGGTAACGGGACATTCCATCATCATTTTTGTGGTAGAGCCACGCTGCAGTTGTAGCACGATTGGGTCGAACTGAAGACCCTTTTTACTGGAATCGAGGCATTCCATCTTAGTCCTCAGTGTCAGTGCCACCACGTATTTGCATTTTGATCCTTAATTGAGGATAAATGTGGATGTCTACGGGCTACAGCATCCCCTTACGATCAGGTTGAATGTGTGCTCATTTGTCACCCAATGCTATAAATAAATCCACCTTAGTCCTCAGGAGTAACAACGCATCTGCATTTTGATTCCTAATCGAGGTTAAATGTAGATGTCTATGAGTCAAAAACTAAAAAGAATAAATCTACATGAAAAAAATTGGTTGACGCTGCAGGCCATCCTTGGAACTTCTGGTTAATTTCAAATGCAAGTCACTCCAAATTTCACTTCAAATTATGACGTTGAATATGAAATATCGGAGTAATTTAAAAAAATCAACTTTTTCAAAATTTTTCGATAACGATATCCGATATCTATGAACGAATCAACCGATTTTGATCAAACCGACGGCGATCGACGTGGTTTTTCAAGGTTAATAAAAATATAATTATAATAAAATTCATAGGAAATCTAAGTTTAATGAAAGAAATCCGCTTAATTAATTTCAATCGGTTCATACATCCACACACACATACACACACACACACACACACACACACACACACACACACACACACACGCACGCTCGCACACACGCACAACGAGCACACACGCGCACACACGCCACACACGAGCACACATGGGCCCATGTGTGCACGTGTGTGGGCGTGTGTGCGTGTAGCGTGTAGTGTGCGTGTGTAGTGTAGCTATCAACTGATAAAGATACATTATTTCGAGCATAAATAATGGTTGCAGATAACGTATTAACGTTGAAGGTGCTTTGTCAGGAATTATATCTTTTCTAACAAATTTAATTTTGTTGTTTTTCATATATCACAAGCAAAATATTTGCTATTTTTTATGAATCTGAAGTGATAACGAAATTAAAATCTACCCTATGGTAAATGGCTGCTGCGGCAAACTTCAAACAGAAAGCTACATATGCGTTGTCACATCTGAGAACTAAGATGGAATGCATTACCATCTGAAAGTGTACTGGTTGTCTATACTCTTCAGACCAGAACAAAGGGCTGAGAGGGCGATACTACCCAGACGGACTCATGCAGGAAATTAGTTCTACCGCCTATTAATTTTTTAATTTGAATCAAGAGGGTTTTTCACTCACACACACATTTTCTAAAAGTGTTTTAAATGAAACCTAGAGTGATAATGAACCACTGTAATTTTTATATAAATTTTTTACAACCGAATAATGCCATAAAAATTACTTTTAATCTATCGTTTTAAATTTTCTCGTGAAAACGCTAGCCACCACACTGGTCAACTCGTGACGTCACACTGTTCAACTCGTGACGTCACTGTCCTAGAATTTTGCCTATTTTGCAAAGGAGTACGTTACTTTTTAATGTTTAATAATGAGTTATCATCTAAATCATTGTTGTGTTGTGCCTGTATTCAAAAATACGGGCATAAGAATGCCGGGAAAGTTATGGATTCAAGTGCCAACTGATTTAAATATAAGAAATAGTTGGTTACAACTGGAAAGAAGATACCCGAATGCATTGACCACAAAAACTAAACTATTCTTCTGTGAAGATCATTTTGATCTAAGTTTGACTTATATTTAACTATCGTTTATAAAAAACAAAACATCATGAAGTGAAGGGGATCACAAGTCATATTTTGCAATAAATTACGTTAATTTAGATATTATACTAATGATTGCTAATTTTTGTACTTATAGATAAATTAAACTACGATAGCTACTAAACTATGTTTCATCAAAATACAGTCTGACCTGGTATTGTGTTTTTGTATAAACAAAAGTTGGTAATAGATACTTACATTGATGTTTTAACATTCCTGAACTCACAGAACAAAAACTGGGAGTGCATGCAAAAAAATTTGCCACGATAATTTTTTTTAGATGAGTACGTGGGTACATACAAAAAGTATTCTAGATAGTATCAATATTTATTTTACGTCTTTTTGAAATATTCTCCATCTGTCCTATGCAAAGTTCCATTCGCCTAAACCAATTCTGAAAATACTTTTGCCAGTCTTGATCTAAAAAGTCGCATATCGCTTCGTCGTAGGCAGCCACGGCTTCTTCGGCGCTTGAAAAATACTTGCCTTTTATTTTTTCTTTGACTTTTGGGAACAAAAAGAAATCACAAGGAGCAGAGTCAGGGCTGTAGTGTGGGTGACAGAGTTTCAACACCAGATTCCTCAATAATGCTTTTGCAAGAGAGGCATTATGTGAGTACAGCATGTTCCGTAGCCCGGTCTTTGATCTTCTCTCCCGCACAGCTTTTTTTTTAATAGAAGAGGGGAAAACGAGCATACGGCTCACCTGATGTTAAGTGACTACCGCAGCCCATGAACAACCGCAACACCAGGGGAATTGCAGGTGTATTGCCAGACCTATAGAAAGTAGTAAGCTCTTTTCTTGAATGTTTCCAAGTCATATCGGTCCGGAAAAATCACCGTTGGTAAACTATTCCACAGAGAGGTCGTACACGGAATAAAACTCCTAGTGTAACGTAATTAAAAAAACAGTGGTGGACCGCCAAGCATCCAGATGGTGTGGATGGTATCGGGAGGTTTGCCGCGTTGTACATTCATGAAATTTGGCGGCTGGGATTAATTCGAACAATTCCTCAAAGCACTCCCCGTGGTAGATGCGATAAAATACCAAAGAGATGCAACATCTCTTCGCAGTGCCAGTGAGTCAAGCCGATCGGAAAGAGCTCGATCGCCGACGATTCAAACAGCTCTGCGCTGGATTCGAACAAATGGAAGGAGCTGGCACTGGGCAGCCCCGGCCCAGAGATGGGAACAGTATTTCATGTGCGGCCGAACCTGCGCATTGTAAAGTTGCAGGCGGTGAGCTGGCATGAAATACTGTCCAGCTCTGCTTTTTTTTTTAATTTGTGTTTTTTTAATTAAGTTATTAAAACCGTACTTTTTTCCAGTTAAGGTTTCAGTAGAAGCTTTAAGACGAAATGCTATCGTGGTCACGTAGGTTTTAAGGGGGTGAAGCAGACGCGGGCGGGCGATCGGCGCGCGGGGTCCTTCGCGTGTCCGGCTAGCTGCTAGCTATATTCCGTTTATCTACTCATGTGGCAATAGCGACGAGTAGGGATGGGCAAGTGAAAAACTATATCGATATATACTGTATCGATATTTTTAAACAGCATCGATATATTCACGTGATGAATATCGATATATCGTAATGTTTTGCATAATGTAGTATGATAAGGCACAAAACGGTATTACCGGATTACTGGACGGTTGAATGACGAAAAAAAACCACAATGACACATGCATGTTTTTGTAGCTTCTTTTGTTGCTTAATGTTTTGTCGATTAAAACAACATTTTAAAATACATCGAGATTAATACGAATTCGATACTCCACGATAAATATTGAATATCATGATATTTTTTACTCAAGCCTAGCGACAAGCTGAAGATTGCACTTTCGTAAGTGTATGATTAATTAATAATTTCATAACCCACTAATAGTTGAATAATATACAAGGTGTAAGTGTAAACACCGTTGTCACAAAAACCATAGGTAGTTAGTTGGCTTTAATATTAAAATATTTATCCGAATTAAAAAAAGCTAATTTCTATCATAAAATTTAAAAGTTTCTTTCCGACACCCTCCGTAAATTCATGGATACCCTATACGCCCGAGTGACGTAATAACTGTAAAGATCACCGCCCGCCCTAGCTACCTACACAACATTCAATAAAAACACAATAGGTACACATAACCAGTGATGTAACTTTTCCTTCATACTTTCATCCCGGCTTAGGACAGGCAAAGATTGAAAAATTAAGGAAAAATTGAGATTTTACTAAATAAAATGTTGTTATTTTTCACTGAATTTACGTTCTATGAGTGAAACTAAACCACTGGTTTCAAGGATAACGGTGTTTACACTAACAGCCTGTATATAACCAGCGTTTATTTATAAAATAATTACAGATAGTAATTGGGTACACCAAAAGAGCCTTCTCATGTGGCGATGTCTATATTATATCATAGACAGGTACAACATAATACGACTTGTACATATGCCTATAGATGCTTACTTACGAGTCGACGTATACTTACTTTTCTACATGAAAATAAACTACATACCTACCGAGGTTTGTACCTTGTTTATTTTCATGTTGAAAAGTACTACATCATTATTTTATTTGGACACTATGACGGACGGACTATCGTTCAATGCGCTTCTTGTAAACTAAGTACCAACAAATATTTTTTTTATAAATTTTTATCTCAAGCGTCTTGGACGATGATGTGCAAATAAAATAATGATGAAGTACTATTCAGCATAAAAATAAACAAGGCAGTCTAGGCACACTCAAGTGTTTTTTACCAGTATTTTTATAACGTTACCCCCACACTAGGAATTTCTCCTGTATCGTGGAGGCAGTTTACAAACATAAATTGCACAAGGATTAACACCCAGACCCGAAACAATTATTTGTAGGCCATACAAATAATTGGTGCACAGCCCACAGCGTAACCACTCATTGCCAAGCTAGTGCGCCATGGAACCGTCACTTTGTCAAAGTATATCTCTTACATACAAGTTCCATCATATCTAACGTGACCATACGTCCTACTTTAGGCGGGACGGCCCCGAATTAAGTTTGTCCCGCTTTAACAAATAAAAGCGTAGTATCATGCAAACTCTGTCACCCGTGCCATCATTATGACACCGCGCGTACCAGGTTTGCCAACATGGCTTGACTAGTTACGTGACTATTCTGAAAACCTACACTTTTGAACTTAAAGTTACGAAGTGACAATTTTTAATTAATCTACAGTAAATTGTCAAATAACATAAGTCATTTCTAATTAGTATTTAATTGCTGTTTAGAAAAAAATAAAAAGCCAGCAGCCAGATTTTATATGGTTCTAAGTTCTCATTCTCACTTTTGATCATTAAAAGATTCAAATAACTATGATTTTATTTTCAAAACTATAATGAAGGGCTCCAGATTGAATTTTGGTAACAGCAGCCATTCTTAACGGAGAATAGCCATCTGCGCAGGACAGGATTATATTATTATTCAAGTGTATGCGCAAGCACAGGTCTACCCTACTCCCTCACTCTTATAGTCTGATGGAACGGTAATACGGATGATGACGGGAGAGAGATCAGGCCCAGGACCAACGGCTTTACGTGCTTCCGGAGGCACGGTGGTGAAACCCCGCCAGCATCAATAAGTTCGAAATCAATATTCCGAGCTGCTACTGAGAATTTTGTGACAGACAAACCCAATGAATGATTCTTGGCCCGACTCGGGTTTCGAACTCGGGACCACATGATCAGAAATTGCGTTTACGACCATTAGACAAAGAAGGCAGTCAAAAGTGTTGAAACTATAATAATTTTAAACTAAAAAATTAAAAAAAAAATTGGCATCCCGCTTTGAAGAAAAAAATTAATGGCCACTTTACTTTTAGTTTGGGAGCCTATGGATCCAATTAAAAATTTCTTGTAATTTTTTAATTTTAACTAAATTATTACTATTATTATTATATTTAATAGGTAACTCCTCTTTATGGGGTGATATCCTTAAATCGGCCTTAACGGCAAGATATTAAGGAACTTATTTGATTACAAGGATAAATGTCTCCTCACAATGGCAGTTGTCCTCAAGATTACAGCCTTTTGAATTTTATCGAGCACAGATCTTGCTAAGCCCAATTTTTCAAGGTTGCCACTAAGCTGTTTTGGTATAATACCTGTAGTTGAGAGGATAAGCGGAATTATAATTACCTCATTTTGTCGCCACATCTGCTTTACCTCTTCAGCAAGTGGTTGGTACTTTGAAATTTTTTCTGTGTAGTATTGTTGAATTTTGTGTGAGTTGGGAACACCAATGTCAATTAAATAAGTCCGCTTCACTTCTTTGTCAATCAGCACAATATCTGGCCAGTTATGACCGATCGATCCGTCAAAATGGATCTGTCCCAATAAACCTGTACCTTATCATTTTCTAATACAGGACTCGGTTGGTATTTCCAATACGCAATTTCTTCGTTTATCAGACAGGATTTTCCTATCAATTCTAAATGAATTATTTTGGCAACATCGTTGTGCCTTTGGGTATAATATGTCGCAGCAAGAGACTGACAGGCACCGGTGATGTGCTGAATTGTTTCGGGGCTTTGTCTACAGCATCTGCATAGTTCATCCTCTATCTCAGCTTTAATTATGTACTTGAGATAGTTCCTTGTTGGAATAATCTGATCCTGGATAGCTATCATGAATCCCTCTTTTTCGGCAAATATTCCTCCTCTACAAAGCCAGTTAGTTGAGGCAACAACATCCACATTTGGATTTTTTAGCTCATAAGCAAAACGTCCGTGAATAGCCTTCGATGCCCACTGGCTAAGTTCATTCTTAACATGGTTTATATCACGTATTGGTTCGGGAGAGAAGATTCTTTATTCCAGAAGTACTGCTGTAAGTTTTCTATTTGTCTGGTATGCTGTCTCTTAATATCTATGAGCCCTCTGCCTCCCTCAGTTCTTGGTATAGTAATCCTCTCAACCGCTGATTTTGGGTGGTGGATTCGATATTTTGTAAGCAATACATGGGTACTTCCCTCGACACTCTCAGGTTCAGTCTCCAACCACTTGACAATCCCAAATGTGTACATAAGTACTGGTATAGCAAAAGTATTAATTGCCTTGAAAGTCTTTTTACCATTGAGACTACTCTTGAGTATTGCCTTGAGCCTACGTTGGTACTCAGTAGTTACACGAGTCCTGATTTCTCTGTGGTCAACTCGTAATGATTGCAGGAGTCCCAGATATTTGTAGGTTTCCTCCATTGTCATTGAATTGATGATCCCACCATCTTGAAGACAATAACCTTCGGAAAGTCCCACCTTACCTCCCAAACCAAAGCACATTGAGATATCTTCGGAAAATTGTTCAACGCATTGGAGTAGTCCCCTAAGTTCACGAAAATTTGCCGCGTACAACTTAATGTCATCCATATATATTATTCAGTTTAAGTTACTTCCTACTACTTCCCTTAATTATAAAACCGTATCCTGTGCGGTTTAAAACTGTAGACAGTGGGTTTAAAGCAAGGCAGAATCACAGGGGACTTAAACTATCGCCCTGGAATATACCTCGTTGAATGGAGATTTGATCGCTCTTAGCGTTGTATCCTTCCAAATTCAAGACCAGCTCAGTTCTCCAGCAAGACATAAGTTGTTGAAGCAGTGATGTTATCTCGGGATGGATCTTATACAATTCGAGAACTTTGACTAACCAGGAATGTGGCATAGAATCAAATACTTTGCGATAGTCTATGGACATTCCGCATCCTATGATATGCCTGTTCTGTGACCACAGCGTCAATCAAGAGTTGTTCCTTACAGGCTTGCGATCCTCTAATGCATCCCTTTTGTTCCACTGCTAGCATTTTATTTTGGTCCAAGTGCTCGTATATCTTATCAGCCAAGCATGATGTAAGTAGCTTATAAACCGTATAGATACAAGTAATAGGGCGGTAGTTATCAGGGTTTTCGATATTCTCGTTCTTCGGTATCAGATACGTAACTCCATTCGGGAGATATGCGGGAATATTATTATTCTTATTATTATTTTGGGGGTATCAATATAGTTTTCTCATCTGGTTGGGTTCTATAAATATATATTTATAAATGGAAATGAAAAGATAAATATACATAAATATCAATAAAATTAAATAAATATAAAAATACATAAATAATTAAAAGCCCAACCAGATGGAGGCCCTCGGCAGGGGGAGACCAAACGGTCGAGGGTTAGGGGGAAAGGGAGAGAAACCGGCGGACAATGCGGGCGGTATCGAGGAGCACCGCCTTCTGCATTTGAGCCTGGAGCGGTCCGTCACGGAGTCCCAGCCTCCTCAGATGACCCGAGAGGCTGGCTGGGATTAGCCCGTTTGCAGAAACGATTACAGGAATAATTTCGGTTCGCAGACCACCCCACATATCGGTCACCTCGTGAGCCTGGTCCAGATATTTTGTTCGTTTATCTGTTTCGGCTTTCACGAGGTTCACGTCATACGGAATGGTAATGTCGACTTATTATATTATTGTTATTTTTGGGGTATCTATATAATTTTCTCATCTGGTTGGGTTCTATAAATATATAATTTAAAGTTAAAATGAAAAGATTAATATACATAAATATCAATAAAATAAAATAAATACAAAAAATACATAAATAAATAAGATCCAACTAGATGGAAGCCCTCGTCAGGGGAGACCAAACGGCCGAGGGTTAGGAGGAAAGGGAAAGAAACCGGCTGACGATGCGGGCGGTATCGAGGAGCACCGCTAAATCGTCGAATCAGCTTCCTCCAAGCAGCGATTTTTTGCTTCAGGTCATCTATGCGCTCCGTTAGTTTCTGCGTGATGTCCGGCTGGGACAAACTAATATTTGTCCCAGCAAACGCCATTATAACGGTGCGCACCACTCTCGGTCTATTATTACCCGACCTGAAGCTTGTCCGTCTACTGATAAGAGCCCTTGCCTTTGCGATACGGTTCTCGATTCTTTTTCTCCAGGCTGGGATGTCGCTACTTTGTTGAGTAGCACGTCCAGTCATGGTAAGTTTGGCGCCAATAATACGGCATACTGCCAGTGCGGCGCCAAAAAGAATTGAGTCCGTCTCGCAAAGGTCCCGGCTGGCTTCCAAATAGGTCACCAGCATTGGGTTAAGAGCCCGCACGACAGCCCGATTTCGCTTGCTAAGGGTAATGCGGGGAAGTCGCGGTCGATTTTCGAGAGGCATGCTGCGCGTTTCCAGCATCGACTCTTCCAATATGCTCCTCATTTTCTCTAGTTCGTGGTAGACTATTCCATCATCGTCTGAATTAACCACAAATGGAATATTGACGGCAGTATCCACATATGCAGTTTGTTGCGCATCTAGTGGCGCCGCATTCCCAGCCGTAGCATTTCCATTCGATGAGGGAACAGCCTCACGTCGTAGTCGTTCGAGTTAGGCGTCACCAAATATGTTGGAACGCAGGATGTACCAAACTCGGTCTGCCAGGTTTTGCTCAGTGACGGATAGAGACGGCTCCAGCTCTGCAAAAAAGCGATGCATCCGAGCCCGATACGCCAAACATCCAGTTTCTTCCCGGGCTCTAAAGTACGCCCGCAGTGCGTTTGCGTTCATTAATTGTGACCAACGCATGCGACGCGCTCCACCAGCGGCGGGTGCCGCTTGCTGAATCCGAGAAGACCCAGCCGACACCAAGCCTTCTGGTGGGGATGATGGATGCGGGGGGCTGCTAGGTGGTCTTGCAGCATCCCGCGCTCGGCTGGCGGCCCGTATGCTGTCGCGTCCAGCGCCAGCTCCAGACGCGCCCTGGCGACCTCCAGGCAGCGGCCCTTTGCGTACTATCTTTTTTTCCATCATCCATGGTTTGGGCGTCCATTAAAGGGAGACGCCCAGGCCCGGCACCGTATCGTCTACGGCCATAAGCACAAACGGGCCTTTGCACCCTAAGTTCTGCCGAGGCACGGCGCTCACACCTCTCGCAAGGCGCTGACTGAGTGCGTTGACGTAGCAGTTTTGTCACTTAACTTTTACGTCAGCGGGCGATGGGGTCGTCAATTCAGGGAATTCGCCATTTTATTATTATTACGTGGGGAATCTATATAGTTTTCTCATCTGGTTGGGTTCTATAAATATATAATTATAAATTAAAATGAAAAGATAAATATACATAAATATAATTAAAATAAAATAAATGCAAAAATACATAAAATAATAAAAGCCCAACCAGATGGAAGCCCTCGGCAGGGGAGACCAAACGATCGAGGGTTAGGAGGAAAGGGAAAGAAACCGGCGGACGATGCGGGCGGTATCGAGGAGCACCGCCTTCTGCATTTGAGCCCGGAGCGGTTCGTCACGGAGTCCCAGTCACCTCAGATGACCCGAGAGGCTGACTGGGATTAGCCCATTCGCAGAGACGACTACAGGAATAATTTCGGCCGGCGTACCACCCCACATGTCGGTCATCTCGTGAGCCAGGTCCAGATATTTTGTTCGTTTATCTGTTGCGGCTTTCACGAGGTTCTCGTCATACGGAATGGTAATGTCGACCAAAAATATCCTTGACTGTGCCCGGTCCATCAGCACAATATCAGGCTTATTCGCAAGAATAGTCCTGTCCGTGATGATGGCCCGGTCCCAGTAGAGCCTGGCATGGTCATACGGCAATTTCCGGTCCACGAGACCGTATTTCGGAGTGAGCTCCTGGTGTAGAATTCTGGCTACTAGGTTGTGCCTGTGCAAGTACTCAGAGTTAGAAAGCACCGAACAACCGGAGATGACATGCCTAAGTGACTCCCCGGGATGGCGACAAGCTCGACAGACGTCGACAGTGCCATCCTTTATGATGTATCTCCGATGGTTGTTGGTCTTAATAACCTGATCCTGTATTGCACAGACAAAACCCTCGGCTTCCCCGAAGAGGTCACCGAAACATAGCCAGTTGAGGGAGGGGGCTGTATCTACGTGGGGCTCATGTAGAGCCCTGTAGTACCTCCCGAGTAGTTCCTTCTCCTTCCATACGATCTCCCGGTCGGAAATGCTCTGTACTACCGGGTCCTGCCATTGCTCGTTCGAGGCTGCACACTTCGCGATTATGCATGGTGAGCGCGCTCAAGAAGTCACGCCCACCATGCTTTCGCGGCAAGTACAGCCTTATTACCGACGATCTCGGATGATGCATTCTATGGGACGTCATTGTAGTGCGGACTTTTCTATCTAGGGCGTTTAGTTCAGTCTGACTCCACCTGAGTATGCTAAAGGTATACATGAGGACAGGCATGACCCAGCCGTTATATGCGTGTGTCTTATTCACACCGGACAAAAGGCTGTTAAGCACTTTGGTCAAGCGTGCATAAAACACTTCGCAAACTGACTGTTTCATACCAGCCTCATCGATACCTATGTTCTGTGACATACCCAGGTATCGGTATGTTGCAGCCTCGGAAAGGGTCCTTATGTTGACGGGCATAGGTAGGGCAAGCTGAGGGCATAGACCTCAGATTTAGCAACCCTTCCCCTTTCAACATGGAGGACCGCACACTTATCCGTCCCCAGCTCCATTTTAATAGAATTGCTAAAATCACAAGTGATGTTTAGCAATTCCATAAGATGGGAGCGACTGGAGGCGTATAATTTGAGGTCATACATATAGAAAAGGTGGGTCACTTTTGTACCTCCTTTCGGAAGCTGAAATCTCCTCCCGGAGCCCTCCAGTAAAGTACTGAGAGGGTTCAAAGAGAGGCAGAACCAGATTGGACTCAGACAGTCGCCCTGGAATCCCTCGCCCCTTCTTATCCTTATGCGGCTTTCCGCAGCTGTCATCCGCTCGCTTAGATGACAGAGGATCGTACTCCATAATGAATGATGTATTTGACTAGAATGCGCAAAAGGGCCGCCGCCTAGAGGACGCCAGGGCGCGTCTGGAGCTGGCGCTGGATGCGACAGCATGCGAACCGCCAGCCAACGGGTGCGAGGTGCTGCACGACCACACAGCAGCCCCTCGCATCCATCGTCCCCACCAGATTGTTTGGTGTCGGCAGGGTCTTCACGGGCCCAGCAATCGGTACCCGCCACTGGTGGAGCACGCCGCATGCGTTGGACTACTCAAATGAACAGCAACGCATTGCGGGCGTATTTTAGGGCGAAAGGGGGAGAAATTGGAGGTTTTGCGTATCGGACAAGGATGCATCGACTTTTTGCTGAGCTGGAGCCATCTGTAACCGTCATCGAGCAAAACCTGGCAGACCGAGTTCGGTATATCTTGCGCTCAAATACATTTGATGTCACCGAACTCGAATGGCTACGACGTGAGGCTGTTTCTTCTTCGGATGAAAATGCTACGGCTGAGGATGCGGCGCCACAACTTGCAGAGCAACCGGCAAACGTGGATGCCGCCGTGAATAATCCAGTTTTGGTTGATTCAAACGATGATGGAATAGTCGCCCAGGAACTTTTTTTACGTGGTAGAGCCATGCTGCAGTTATGCTAATTGTACAGTTGTAGCACTAATGGGTCGGCTCGACCGGGAAAGACCACGCTCTCACAGAATATCAGCGTGAAATAGTAGCTTAATTCTGGTGTGTTTCGTATGGTGAGTGTAGAGAACCGGAGACCCTTTTTACTGGAAAAGAGGCATTCCATCTTAGTACTCAAGGCTGACAACGCATCTGCATTTTAATTCCTAATCGAGGTTAAATGTAGATGTCTATGGGCCACAGCATCCACTTACCATCAGGTGGACTGTGTGCTCGTTTGTCACCTTTTTCCTATAAAAAAAAACTGGAGCTGGAGCAAATGAGGAGTACATTGGATGAGGCGATTTTGGAAACGCGCAGTACGCCTCTCGAAAATCGACCGCTACTTCCCCGCATAGCCCTCAGCAAGCGGAATCGGGCTATCGTGAGGGAACTCTGCTGAACCCAATGCTGGTGACCTATTTGAAAGCCAGCCGGGACCTTTGCGAGACGGACTCAATTCTTTTTGGCGCCGCACTGGCAGTTCGCCGTATTATAGGCGCCAAACTTTCCATGGCCGGACGCACTACTGGACAAAGTAGTGCTATCCCAGCCTGGAGAACAAGAATTGAAGAACGTATCGCAAAGGCTAGGGCCCTCATCGGCAGACTGATATGCTTCAGGTCAGGCAATACCAGGCCAAGGATTTTGCGCACCGTCAGGATGGCGTTTGCTGGGACAAATGTTAGTTTGTCCCAGCCGGATATAATGCAAAAACTGACGGAGCGCATAGACGACCTGAAGCAGAGAATCGCTGCTTGGGGAAAGCGGATTCGGCGATATACCGAGAGGTCGACACGGTTCAACCAGAATCGTCTCTTCCAGAGTGAGCAGAAGAGGCTCTGTAAATCATTGGAGCGACCAATGGTAAGTGGAACGGGCCCAGAACCGAATCAGGCCGACACGGTCGCAATCTGGCGCAGCCTGTGGTCAGAGCCCGTAAACCACAACGAGGGCCTTTGGACGGAAGTTGTGGCGAGTCAGTGTGCGAGAATTACGCCCATGGATCCCGTCATCATAACGCCGGATGACGTAGCTAAGGCGGTCCGTAGGGCCCTGAACTGGAAAAGTCCGGCGCTTGACGGGCTGCATTACTACTGGCTGAAGGGGTTCATGGTGTGTCATGCTGTGCTCGATCGACAGTTTCAAGAAGCTCTCAACCAGAAGTCGCTCCCGAGCTTCTTCACTACTGGGATCACTCATTTGGTTCCTAAAGATCAGGGTGCCACAGACCCGAGCAAATACCGCCCCATCACGTGTCTACCGACCATATACAAGACACTAACATCCATTTTGAGCGCGAGAATCACTCGTCACCTGGACTCAAATCAGGTGATGTCGCGCGCTCAAAACGGATGTCGGGGCGGCGGTCGTGGAACCAAGGAACCACTCCTCATTGACGCGGTCATTGGTAAAGCGGTGAAACGCAACTGTCGGAACTTCTCCACCGCCTGGATAGATTATTATTATTATATTACTCACAAATATAACAAATTTTACTTATCAGTTGGAATTATAAACATACTTAGTACCTATATTTACATGTTTATTACTTGCTACTAGCTCACTGTTTGAGTGGATACTAGGACTAAGGAAGGCATCCAAACCGGTTTGGATGCCTAATTTTTCCCTACCTCTCAATGCCATACCACGGTTATCAATATTTTTTTTAATATATTGTTACGTTTATACGACGACAGCGGGCACAATAAAGTTGTACATGGGTACTCTCTACGACGCGCTGCGGACGATTGGCGAGATTGTTTGGTCAGCCCGGGCGCTATTTAATTGCACAATATTTAATTGATATTTCTTTTTAAAACGATATATACTTTTTTATTGAAAAATAAATCCATTATTCACTCACGTATTTACTGGTGAATTCATAGCCTGAATTTAATTGAATTTGATTACATTACATTCGAATGCAACTGCTTTTTCACTTAGTGGACGTACTTAAAATTGTAGATTTTGAGGAAACTTTGCGATCCTTTTTAATAGAGCCTAAATGTGTCAATCGTGTATTAGCCACCATAATTAAAATCTTAAACTTTCATAATAAATTCAAAAATATGTGAATTCGTGGTTTAAAATGATAAAAAATTGATTTTATGCGCACCTATAAAGCGTGAAAAATCTGCTTTTGGCGCCCACTTCACCTTAAAGGGCTTTGTGGGAAAAGAAATAAGGCTAAATATTGGCTCGATATAAAAATAAAACTGGTCCCTTATTCCGTCTTTACGTATCGTGTGCTGTTTGACAAAAGGAATATAAGAAGGTGTAATGTTCTTACCTTTTTTTACTAAATAATAGAAAACTTTGAATGTATATTGATAACATATTAACTAGATAATCCCTTTATATTATTTTTATGTGCAAATAAACCAGTTAGGGCGATCCCACGATATTTTTCTTGACTAAATTTTCATTTTTTATATAGGATTATTAATGAACAGTTTGTTATACCTCCATAGCTACAATTTCGAATACTCTTTAAAAAACCTACGCTTAAAAATCACGCTTTAGGAATGGATAATAATAAAGATGTGTGCACACGCGGTAAAAGTGAAACCTTTAGAAAACTAAACTTAGAGAGTATGAGACGAATGCAGAATATGAGGAGTAGAATAGTTGTTAAGGTTTATGTAACTAAAATATAAATAATAATAAAAAACACTATACTGTGTTCTATCTTATTCCCTCGCAGGCTTAATCCTATGGATGTATACGTTTGTCTCTTTTAAGTGTCGCTTTTTCGTTTCATCCAGTTTTAATCACAAAGTTGCTAAGAAGTTTTCACTTCAAAAATCCTATCGTATTTCACTAACTGAATCACCAGCGTGGTCCACTGTGCAAACGTTACATTAACTTCATTATTAAGATACTTTCTGAGATCTTGCTGATAGACTGTATCAACTGTAGGACCGACCACACTTCAATGGCTGTAACTTTATAAAGTTACAGCCATTAGAACTATAATATATAAATCCTTTACAAATTTCAGTATACATTCTACAATTGTTCTAGGACTACTACTAAATCAAGTAATTATTTCAAATTCAACTGCTTTGCATTCAGTTGATTATCTTGAAGCGGTTTGTGACTCTTCGATTTATCTAGGTATTTTTTTTATATTAGTATTCTAAACTAAGATCATCACGGCTCATGTTCAATGTGTAATATTGAAAATTATTAGGAACATATTATCTTGTCTATTTTTCTCTCTCAGATTTAACAGTAACCTTTTAAAATGGTTTACTCTACATTGATGACGACGCTAATAATTTAAGAATAATAATATACATATTTCAGTAATGCATTGGTTAAAATTTGAATTCTATTTATTGTTAAAACCTATATAATGATTTGTGGTAAGTGCTATAAGAAACATGCAGTATGGAATATAATAGAATAGTTATGTTTTTACCACCAGTTAAAAAAAACTACACTACTATTCTAACACCAGTTAAAATAAAGTAAATGCTGTATTAATTAACATGGAAACAGTTAGAAACAGCAAGTGAGCGATTAATAATACTTCTTAAGATTAACTTAATATGTTTACCATTAGTTCCGAAAAAACTTCAGTCTGAGAAGTCCAGCAAAACACCTTTTTTTTAGAATGAGGCTGACAAACGAGTACATAGTCCACCTGATGACTACTTAAAAAAACTTTACAATAAAACAAGTGCTCTACGATTGAACAAGAAAACAATTAGAAACAATAAGACATAATTTGCTGTTAACCTCTCAAACTCCAAACCATAATGGGTCGGATCCGTCCACTGCGATATAATATATTTTCACTTGTATATTTTTCCATAAAAACGAAATTTATTATGTTACGTCTTTCCCTACGCATATTTTTATTGAAGTGCTCTGTATATACAGTTAACAGATTTCTTCCTTACTTTGTCACAAAAGTAATTTACAGCTTTGTTTCCCGTAACATTTCCATGGTATCTACTTTGCCCGATGTAATTTTCCTGTTACGCACAAACATACATTTGTGGGCACAAATTAAATTATTCAGCTAATATCGTAAAAGATTCTCCGTGTTCAGTGATAGGCACGTTGTTACGTTGATAGGTAAAAAGTGGTTTCACTGTATCTATAACTCAATTAGAGCTAAGCCACACGATGTGGAGGTAAAAAAGGGAGGGAGGAATGTTGAATTTTTCCCCATCAGCATTTTTCACTCGATCTTTAGTTGCAGTGTCGTTTCAATCAAAACTTTAGTCACGTCATCGCAAACGTAAAATATTGCAACATTTAAGAATTCAAACATCTAGTATTTTTGTACAGATTCTACTGTACTTAAATTTCTTTCAAGTAGGAATATTTTGGCTATTTATGTATTGAAAAGAAACTACTAAGAACTTTATATTACATCCTTATATGAATATGTATATTATGTACTTATAAAATGCACAGTCTTTCATACTTTAACAGGAAATTAAATAAAAAACCTCGAATTATTTGATTCAGTTATAAAAGGAATCCCTTTTGTAGTAAAAAATTGTAATATAAGATTTTACTTTGCGAATTGTAATAATTGTATTATTTGCTCTTACTATACTAATACTTGCCTCATCGTTACTACGATGGACTGGACGTTACTGGAACCCAAAATGATCTCCTCACAGTTTGATCGCTCACCAAAACTTGGTTTACCTACTGCAACTTCAAAACATATCCTTGTCGTAACGTTAGGCTGTCTTCTCATTGTAATTTTATATATTTTTTATATTTTTAAATATTTAATATCTCTGGTAACTCGGCTATTCCTAGTGCGTACTGGTGCTAATGGTATAACGTATCGCAATATCTCATCTCTGGTTAAATTTCGGTGTTTTATGGTATAAAAGCCGTCAGTAATCGTTATTACAGCCTATCAAATTCCACAGGCAAACGTAGCTGTTCCCCATAGATGACCTAATTGAAGGGTAGCCATAGTTGCCATGCCTGATAGGCAAGATGGCAACCCCAGTTGGTTATCGTTTTGAATTTGTTATCAGGAAGATGCTGCTTTTATAGAAGTGCGAGCAAATGAGCATGCTGCTCAGCTGATGACAAACTTGGTGCTCATCTTTTACAGTTTCCCTTTATCGCATCTTATGGCCCACACGGGATGATAATTGGATATTGGAAAAAGAGTTATTGGAATATTTTACTCTACCACTACTTACACGACACCGGTAAAAAACTCCGGTATTTAATCAATTTATAAACTTATAGAAAAAAAAATACGTTCCGAACTCAAAATTTAGCCAGAGAAGAATATTTATCGTAATGAAGTTATACAATTCCATTTTATTGGCTCCGTCAGGCTTTTTCTAATTTGAATTTAGAAAAAAGAAAAAAAATACTTCAGAAGTTAGTCAGTAGCAAATACTTTTACAATATGGTAATTTTAAATTTATCTGTAATAAACGTGAATGTAGGTATATGACAGTCTTGATGTAGTGTTCTGTGGTTCATGTTAGAGCAACACGGCCCCCGAACGCGACTTTGAGATGCATCACATATTTTATTTTCGATTTCATCGAATTAGAAAATAATGTTTTATTTGTTTAGTAAATTAGTTAAAACTAAATAGTTGTATAATATTAGCCGGTAACCGGTGCGTTGCTGGCGCAGAAGAAATAACTATGGAAATATTTCTTTTCTAAATATGAAAGAATTGTATAATTTAATTAGGAATGATTACATTCGTTTGAAGTTGGATGATATATAACTTTCGAATAAATTTATCGGAACGATATGCGCGCCACCTACTATATGTTAATAGTACTATGGCTATAACCTTCGCGCGAGTTCAAGCAATAAGTTGACAAAGTTTTAGCGCGATCTAATGAATGGTATGGCAGCGCGTAAAATACGAACAAACTGCAATCAGTTTCTCGGCGAGTACACGCTCTTAAAATTATATATTATTATGAACCATCACCTATATAAATACAATTAATTACAGCAACAATACGAAAATAAAAGGTAATAATAATTATAGGCACCTAGGTACTACAATTACAATAATGCAATACTAATGCAAACACAATAATGTGTATTGTGTAGTTATAGTTCAGTTAATAAGGAATTTTTAGAGAGGATTTTTATGTTTTAGTTTACAGCCTGCTGAATTCCACTACTGAATATAGGCCTCCCCCATGGATTTGTTGCTCTCTGTCGCCTCTTACGACACCCACGGGATGATATTCGGCAGTGGATGTTTATACACCGTTTAATCTTATAATTTTTCCTAAATTTGTTATCTAATATTTTCACGGTTTTATGATACTTTATGGAAAATCAATGTCATAAACAATTATTGCGATCTGTTTGAGTTTGAATAAGGAATTGAGTAGGTAGGCCATATAAAGATTTATATATTCCTCAGATTCAACTCATTGTGCAAAAAGATAGAGCACCGGATAGGCGATAGGTTTTGTTAACACGTTGCCGAATCATGAGTGTGAAATTTTGCTCTGTCGTGGCAAGTCTAATTACAGCAAAAAGCGTCACAAAGGAAATTCTACATATTGAATTAGGTCACGATTATTTCAATTCAATTTAACTTTAGATTTTTTGTACTTTGGGAGTAAGTTAAAGGTCTTTTGCATCAAAACAAATAGCTAAAACGTTGTTAACTTTTTGCATGCACTTGCACGAAAATTATAGGCCTGTTGGTAGCTTCATTTGAAGTCAGTTGCAGGTGTTCATGAGCTACAACAGTCATTCATCACCAGGTGGAGGGTGAATTTATTTCTTTTTATAAGAAAATACTTATTATAAGTTAGTTCCAATTTTTCAACTCATAAAAGTTACCCATTGAATAAATTATAACCCGACTGAATATAAAAGTGAAACTATTGAAATATTTTACTCACATAACTGTAATTTTCAATTTCTTTATGATGCATTTTACAAACAAACCCCAAACCGTCATCATCTGTTTCAGCCAATGACAACAAATAGTATCACTACCTGTCTCGCTCTAGCTCACATGAAATGGTGTCATTATCTGTTTCATTCAAAAACAATTCTGTCTCATTTGCACATATTGAATTCAATATCTAATAGTAGATGAAAATGTATTGTGATGTAGGTGTAGAACTGTTTTGATTTTGGGTCTTACTTCAGAAAATCAATTTTTTTAATAGAATAAAGGTGACTTGATGGAAAATGCTGATGGAAAGAGGATGCTGTAGCCCATCTACATTTATCCTCGATTAAGAATCAAACGCAGAAGCGTTTTCACCCCTGAAGACTAAGATGGAATGCCTCGTTTCCAGTAAGAAAGGTCGCCGGTTCTCTACACTCACCATATGACACACACCAGTATTACGCTGCTATTTTACGCTGGTTATGGGTATTAAACCATTTTAAAATCTAGGATAAACAGGCCATATTTTGAAGTAACTTGCCTAGGGTAGTACAGTATATATTTTTAATGAAGAATCAAAGTTAAGTGATCATATTTTTTCATCTACGTCTAAAAGAAACTACGTTTATTTTAACTAACCTAGCAACCTTTATTTTTTTTGCTTGATTTGTGACTGGAACTAACAACAAGTTTATATAAGACCACGTTAGTGAACAAATCACTGTAAAATTACGAAAGAATCATGCCAACTTTCCATACATTGATTGCCCTGTCACTTGATTCCTTTAACAGGTTGCGCCTGCCTACAAATAGTGTTTTATAAAAACAATTATTGTTTATAATAACATAATAACTCATTATCTTTTCATTTAGAGGCCAGGGAAAAACGCTATTAAGTAAATAAGTTTTTGAGGTTATAACACCTATCAGATTAGGTGTATACACTTATTATTATTTCCACATCGTAGTATTAAAGCAATAAAAATCGCATCTAATCATAAATTGATAAGTTATAAAAAAAGCAATTGGTTATTTTGAACATTTATAAACCACATGACGAATGAACAAGTTTTTCGTAGTCTGAAACGGAACGCGTAAAACACTTTTTTATATTTGGGCATGGCTTCTGGGCCTTTGAGCCTTTGTAAAACCAAATCTAAAAGTCTATTGAGAGTGGTAAACATAGTAACTTACTTTATTTCCTGGCTTTATTTGAAAATTAAATATGAGATACAAAGTAAGCAAAAAATATGCAATTTTATAAGATGTTCACATCACTAGAAAAATTTCAGTTCAAAACTGGACATGATTCTTTGTGGTCACAATATCCTTTGCTTTTAATCAGTTTTTGTTTTATTGCTGCTTTACCCACAGCTCTCACCACTGTACTAAAGGTTAGCTATCAGCGATTGCCATTGAGAGATCGAGTTTACCTTTTATACAAAAAGTATTTATGTGCAATTAAGAATTTTAACACAGCCTCTCATTATACTGGCTCTCTAAAACTTTAATATATCTTTATAATTTACATTATAACTATAATATAATAACGCTATAATTATACGAGAAAAACAGGTATTTTTCTCGTGAATCAATGAGACTTTCTACTCTATTGTGAATAGTGAGATGCCAGAAAGTATCAGAAAGGCACGTATGGCAAATCACAATGCTGTGTTAGCAGTTACTCATGGTAGATGGATTAGCGTACACAGTATCACTCTCGAACATTTATCATCGCCGTCTGGGTGTTTTGCATCTGGGGTGAATGAGATGGCTATGCCACCATCTATTGGGACAAAACAGGCTGATATCTTTTACACTGCTACAACACAGCATTATTTAAAATATTTAACATTATTTAAACAATTTATATTTAAAGAACTAGGACTTATTGAAGAACAATTTTTGGTCTTAGGTAAAGTATTCGTTAGGTTATGACACAGTAGTTGTTATTTTTAATTCATAGAGTAGTTTACAGAAAATAAAATAGCTGCGAGATTTTTGTGGTTTTTCCATGACTTTACTCAAAACCAGTCTATAATAAAGTCATGACTTTACATGACTTTATTCAAAACCAGAATACCAGCGTGAAATAGCAGCTTAATGCTGTTTATATGGTGAGTGTAGAGAACCGGATTTTTACTGGAAATGAGGCATTCCATCTAAGTCTTCACGTGTGACAACGCATCTGCATCCTGAGTCCTTCCTTCCCGGTCGAGCCGACCCATTCTTGCTACAACTATACTACTAATATAACTGCAGCATGGCTCTACCACGTTTTGTCTAGTATGGAATTGTATGTTAATGTATATACATTGATTTTCAAACCTAAACGAAAATCGACATAATATGACGAAGTGAATAATTTTATAAAAAGTAAGGCGTTTGTTTAAGTCCACAATTAGCCCTTGAATTGCTATATAAAAAAATTAACGTTCAAAACACTAAACGTGTGAAAACCGATAGGTTTTGAATTGGGGAAGACTAAAGACTTATTGATTCAACTAGAATTACTTTCGAAGCGAAATTTCAGTGTGCGCTCATATATTTATGCACGTGTATACATATACTAGCTCAAACCCATTCGCTTCTCTTGTCACAGGAAAATATTTTATTGCGGAACCTATAATTTTTTTTTGGATGGAACAATCGTAAAATCCGTTCTTAGACAGCGTCTACATTGCGAAATGAGCTACTATACTATATTTCCAGTCAATCAGGTGTATAGTTTTGGAGATCACCTGATGAGTCAGTCAGTCAGTGGTATTGCGCTTATATATATATATATATATATATATAAAAAAAAAAAAAAAAAATAAAATATATATATGATAAATGCTTTAGGAAAATGTATAGATAAATTGTCACTAATCATTGGTGATGGCGTGGATAATAGCTTCTTCGAATACGTAAATTGTGAATTTTAAAACATTGTTATACGGTAAAGTTTGCTAGTAAAAATGTGTAATGACAATAAAATTTGTATTTTATTTCTATCATTATTAGAGATGAATTTTATTTTACTTTCAATTTCTGTTACTGTTGCCCCTTTCATAATTTACTAACTATGAATATGAAACAATATATAACTATAAATTTAAATTGTACCCCATAAACTATGTCAGCTTAAATAATGAAAAGTTTGCCCTTGAATAATTTAATTTACGTTTCATAGAGGCGGTTATACCGTTCGAGCGGAAAACGTAGTGAAAAGACGCGCGCCTCCGCCACAAGCGTGACTGCAGATGGCCGGTTGCGGGAACACGTAAAGAAAACGACGAGACAGATGCGTGACGCAGCGCGCAGGACCGGCGCCCCCCGCCGCGGTGCGTGCCCACCGCCCCGCTGGCGCTCGACACGTTTCCTGCGAAAAAAAATAACATCGATATTTGCGTGGTGCGTAGGCCTGCAGCGAGCTGCCAGGTGTCCGGGAGTATCGTGCAGCGTTTCGCGGTGCGGTTGTGGGCCCGAGGTGCCGGTGCAGGCGGTGCGTGGAGCCGCGTGGCGGACGCGGCGCCTCGACCCGGGCGGCAGTCGCTCGCAGCAGGCGGCCGATGCAGGTCGCTCTGCTATCTTCGCCGATCACACTTGCTAGTGTACCCGCGATCAGAATCACACCCCCCTCACGCTGCAACAGTGCTAGCGCTCTAATCCGCTTGCACACATGCACTTTTCATTCATACTTCGCGCGATCGCGTCTTGCGACTGCTTCGTTCCCAGTTTTATCTTATCAATCGCTCGTACTTCTTTATGAGACAGTGACACTGGAGCTGGAGCACCATTGTGTGGCTAATTGAAGTGATCTAGTCGCTCCGGTAAGAGGGATATTGTTTATTTTTTTGAGTGTGACAAAAATTTACATGTTTTTGGGTAAAATCTTAAGATATATTTGATATCAAAAAAGTATTGATTTCAAAATAAACATACACGTAACAAAAGCATACTTAATACAGTGACACAGAGAAAGATGAAGCTGAAAAAATCATTATTTAGACAAGTTTTTGGAGTGACGAAGAATGTACTGCGTTTTATCTCATAGGAGTTGTCATGAGGGAGAAAAGACCAATAGCACTGGCGACACGCCAAATTCCGAACGAGCGCATCGTTTAGTTACAAATATTTGAGAAATATTAGAGACATTATTATTCACTTAAATTAGTAATATGCATTTCGGTATCTTAGTTCTAGAAAAAACCTATACGAAACGTTTATTTATCTTACAGCCATAAATATAATTTTGCTTTTAGTTTAGCCGTATTTTATTTTTCTATAAGTCATCTAATTCTTCTTTAACATCTTAAATATGTACATTATCATCTGCCTTAAGGTATCTGATATTAAAAAGATGATTGTGTTTAAAATAATGTATGTTGAATCATATATCATGACAACGAAGTTAGTTAAAAACCCTTAAGAAAGAAACCCAGAAAAGAGAAGTTTCACTTTTGTCAGTGTCTAAATAATGAAATTAGTTTAATCAATTTATGAATTGCATGCATATTTAAAAAAAAATTGCGGTACGCAATTAAAATTCATTATAATTAAAGTTCATTATTGTTTACTATGAAATTAAAAGTCATATTTTCTTACCTTTGAATAAATATACCTTACCTACTCGTTAATTAAGTTATACAAGTATATAATTACACGAAAGCTTCATTTTTGAATATAAATATTTATTTTTTGTAAGCTCATGGACAGGGTCTTGAAGGTCATGACGTTCGCCTTGAATTCCATAGAACGGAAGTAGAGTTACATTTTGGTGCCGACACCAATAAAATTGTACCTTGAAAATTAAGTGATATTTATCGGGTCACTCAAGCAATTAAGAAAATTATTGAGACAAACTAGGCATGTCTGAGAAAAGAACTATTTTGCGAAAAAAAACAACACAGCGAATTTGCTGCAATCTCAGAATTAAGAGAAGGCTTGAATAAAGAATATTATTAGATGTTCATGCGTGAAAATAATAAAATTACCATTTACGCGACGATATTTATTTCGAAAAGTCACACTTCACGATTTATTTTCATTCTATTTCAGTTTACAGGAGAAAGATATTTCACTCTATTTTTTGACGTCCTATCCAATTACAGTGCTTCGTTTTTCCCCGAGGGAGCGAAGTCATTATGCTCTTTTCGGTGAAGTAAAAGTGATAAATGTTTTATTTCTCCAAAATCATTTTGCTAATTATTTTTGAGACATAACCCAAAAGTAATAATTATATTTGTTAGAGATGTTTTGGTCCTATCTTTTACTTACATAAGTCTTATACACATTAACTTTTTGGTATTTTTACTAAATTTTACGTTAGAATATATAGTGGATGCTTCAACGTGCTTTAAATAGAGAGACCAGTAGTTTAAAAAAGCAGCTCTATTGTTTTATAAAACCGCAAATGTGAACGCGTTTATGATTTGGGTGTGTTTTTATTTGAAGGAAAATAAGCACAGTGTGTTGAATTTCTCATCTAAAAGGTGTGTAAAAGTTTCAACTTTCTTTTGTTAAAAAATTATATAATCTTTACAGTAACTAAAGGAACTACAGCTCGCCGGATTTTAAATGACTACTGTATACCTACAACTAACTTAAAACGATGAAGGCCAGAAAAGAAGAGTTATCGCATCTGAGGATGAAGATGGATAGATTTAGATGGGCTTCTCAGTAAAAAGGAGTCCTTTCACTTAATACTTCAGCTGCAGCTTACCTACATACATCCGAGAGCTGGGCAAAAGCCTCTCATTTCTGAGAAGGTTGTGATGCAATTGGTCTGCGCTGCTCCAGTGCGTGTTTGCAGACTTCACATGTCTTCGTTATATTTTTATTCCTAAAATATTCAAGTCTCCTCGCGATGTTTTTTTTAATCGTCGAACACAGAATAATAAAGAATTACTTTACTTACAATTAGCCGGCGAAAATCGATCCTGGGCTCGCATACTGTGAAATTTACGTCGCTCAGGTTGGACCTAGTAGAAACACTATGGTCCTGTATGCCTGTATTGTTTTCTTCAATATTTTACGTTTTGTAAGTGTAATTTGGTAAGTAAAGACCACCATGCCATATGTCTGAATGAAGTTTTCTTCCTCGCAAAACTTCTTTGTGGAATCGACTATCATCAGGGATTATTCCGGACCGATATGACTAAGGGACCTTCAAGATAAGAGCCTACTCTTTTTTTAAAAGATCAGCAATGCACCTGCGATCACCCATGTGTTGCAGATGTACATGGGCGGTGGTCGACACTTACAGTCAAGTGAGCCGTATGTTGGTATGCCCACTCTTCTATAAAAACAAACTGGGTATTACTGCGTTAGTGATCTCACAAAACTACAACGCCCCTGAAATCTGTTTTCTACTCACTTTTCATTTTCTATACTGGTTCCAAATATCAAGAATTTTCGAAAGAATATTTATTTGATTTATATTATTCTTAACAGAAACTAGTAAACAAAAATTTTGCGCTTAAGAATATTTTTGGATTTAGAGTAATTTTAAACATATTTCGACTATTAAAAAATCCCTCCCTAACTTATCTAATTAAATAAAACTTAGCAATACAATATCGAGCAATGTCCTTTGAGTGTAAAAGTATAATGTGTAAATTGTTTCCTACGGCAAGTGTAGACAACCAAAGACCCTTAGAGGAAGACAACGCATCTGAAAGCCTAGTCTATGGGCCACAGCACCAAGTTATGATGGACTCTGTTCTTATGTTACCCTTACTCTTATAAAATCTATTTTATGTCTGTATTAATTTCTTTATTTTTATTTTATCCTTAAACGGTATTTAAACACGTCCATTTTTTGTCACTTGTTTATAGAATAATATAGAACGACAAACGATCAAACAATCCATCTGATGGTAAGTGGTGTCGGTGGCCCAGAGACATTTAAATTTATCCTCGATTAAGATGCAGAATGCGTTGTCACGCCTGAGGACTAAGATAAAAATATTTTAAAATTTCTGTGCAAACGACACAACTCACCTAGTTGTGTCGTTTATGATCAGTAAAATTGTTGCATCTATGAAAATAAATATAAAGTTACAACCTATAACGACCAACAGCTGAGAACAGGCAATTCTATTACAAATTGTTTAAAATCAAATCTAAGCATTCAATTATTGATAATTTATTTATTAAAGCCTTGTGAAATGTCATATATTATTTAATATGAATGGCCTCCCCCAATAGATAGCTTTTACCATAGTTGACGATGTGCAGCGATACCAGGCTTGAAAGGCATGTTGGCAACCGAACTTTTTATTATTTTTAGTTGATATTAGGAAGATGCTACGGCCAATACGTATAAGACATCTATTGCCTTTTACGGTATCAACGAGGTGATATGGGGGTGGCGGTTACTCTCACGTCGCCATTTCACGGATAGCTATTAGCGGTATTTATGGGAATCAGATTATCATTTCATTCAGTGTAATACTGTTCGAAGTAATTTGTGAGCTCTTCCCCGGAGACGTAATTTCCGCTAGCGCATAATTGCTCCCTAGGCTTTCTATTATTGCTTGGACTAACTTTCGGCTGTATCCTATTACTCGAACCCGCCGTCTCACATCGTGGTAAGCAAGTTAGATTTAATTACAACTAACAACATCGCCGACTAGAACCTATTCATAATGAAAATTTATATCGAATAGAATTCAAGAGAATTGATTAACCTAAAACCACGTTTAAAATGTAGGGCTCACTTAAGGACACCTAAGCACGGTCCTTCCGTTTTCCTGAAGATAAAAATATTTTTTTTATGTTCATTGAGTTCATTGGTATGATAAAATTTCGAGTCGTCGGTTAGAGATTTAAATTCCACCTAAAAGTAATATTTATGTTGTGCACTAATTATTGAGCCGTGGTAGCTAATATGGTTAGCGCTCGTTGTTAATTTTACAGTACGCCAGCAACCCGGATTCGATCTCTGACGGCACCAATAAAAATGTTATATAATAAATGAAAAATAGCAATATTAAGTGCTGATTTACCACCTGCTCGGCAGTGAAGGTAAACATCGTGACGAAATCTGCATGTACAAGAAATAAGAAAAGACATATTTAGAAGACATGTAAAATTCGCCAATACGCATTGGGGAAGCGCGGCTGACACTTCCTTGCCCTACATCGCTTTCAGAAATGCAAGGAGGTCTGTGCCCAGGAGTGGGACGTATATAGATTATAACTTTAACTTTTAACTAATTATTGACTTTTAGATTTGATGTGCTGTGTTTGAATGAGTTCTGTCTATGTTAGCTTCTGACTATGAGGCTGCAAACAGAACCTTTCTCCCTCATCGGTTGTTGGTTCTTTAAGTTCAAACACAGTACGGGGAGTGCTCTGAGGAATTATTCCAACTAATTCTAGCCGCACAATTTCACCATCGCACATCGCGACAAAAATCACGATACTATCCATACCATCTGGATGACTGGCGGTCTACCACCGTGCGATTTAAAAGAAGTTTTCTTCCTCGCGCAACTTCCTTATGGAATCGACTACCACCAGCGACTTTTCCGGACCGATACGACTTAGGGACCTTCAAGAATAGAGCCTACTCTTTTTTAAAAGGCCGGAAACGCGTCTGCATTTC